TACCAAAACCCTGCCATGCAAACCCAACACACTCTTATATATTATATACAGTAACATGAATCTGAAACTAAAGGTATTTATGTCACAGACTTGAAGCCATAGAAGATGAAATAACTTACCTGTTGTTGCTGCTCTGTTCTGTGTGTTGTTCCTTGTGTTGAGTGGCAAGTGTTTGGACCTCTGCTGGGTGTGCATTAGAAGGAGCATCATCAAGTGAAATGATTGTATATGAAGCTAGGAGTCAGCAGTTGACTGGCATAGAACTGCTAGCTGCTGCTGCTTGAGTTAGAATTGGGAGGAAGAGTGGGAAGGGTACTGGGGTTCAAGGGGCAAATGAAAATAGCTCTTCATTTGATGACATAAGAACCCTACCAGACTTCGACAATCAGAGGAGAAGCTGAGGGAGCTTCCAGCATCTAGTGGCTTTTTCTGAAACAATGGCATTCTTCTTAGCTGTCAGTGGTGTTCACAGCTGTGGCCAGTATGGTGGCATCATTGTACTTGGCTGCTGTCTTCCCACCCATATCTGCAGATGACTATTTTTATTGTTTACTGCTGGATGACGAAGCAACCCTGTACTTTTAGGAGAGAAATGGTTAACTTGGCCATCAGTCTGGCTGGTATGGTTGGGAAGGAATGTTCTGCAGTATGTCTACTTAATGTCCTCTTCTGGAAGAAGAGTTGGGCTGAATCATGCCCTTTTTTGCCCTTTTGAATCATGCCTCCTTCCTCCCCTGCAGTGGGTTCTGCAGAGCATCTTTACAGTGTCCCTCTGCTAGAGTTTTGTAATATTCTGCATGGGGAGTAGAGAGAGGAGTTGTAGGACTCAGACCTTCTCTTCCTCTCAGAGTGTGGAGGGACAGCCTCAGTTGCAAGCACAGATTTATCTCTTTGAGTATAATGGCAGATGAGATCTGGTATGACAGAAAAGTCATCTTGTCTATGCTAAAATCTCTGCCAGTGTTACTGCTGCTTCTGTATGTCTTACTGTCAGATCCAGCTCAACGAGGTTAATTTCCTTGCCTCTCATTAGTCTCTCTCCCCACCTCCTTCCTTTCTGTCTGTGTATGCCAGTGTCATCCACTGAGGTCATGTCACAAGAGATCTAGAACTTGTGCAGGTACTGCTGGAATATTCTACAGCTGTCATTTTGACATGTCTTTAAGCTTTCCATCCCTTTTGCGTCAGTCATAAGTTAGCTCCCCTTTCAAAGCGTGTTCCCTGTCATTCACTACTAGGACTCCAGCTTCTGCCACCCACTTAGAGCTTCAAACAGCAAGAACCTTTGTCCTTTGGCTCTGGCTGCCTCTTCCAGGTAACAGCAGTCCCCACAAACTTCCACAACCCACATCATTGTCTTCCTTCAAACTCTTCCTTGAATTTCTTTCTCGTTGTGGTGCAGAGGAGAAGACAGTAGTTCTGAACCTCTGTCACAGGCTTTGCCATCTAGGAAGGCACCTGGTAGGAGCATTTCAAGGTTTTGTGTCCAGTACTGTTAGCTTACAGCCTGCTACTAAAAGGCATCAGAACTTGCCTTCTGTGTGTTGTTACTGCTTCAACTTGGTGAATGAAGCTTTTAAACCATGAAGACTTAATTTGTTCTAAACCTGGGTTTATGGACGGACAGAAGGTATTGTTGAAGAGCCTCAGTTTTAACTCTTAACTACATTGAAGATGCTAACAATATCCCATAGATATAGAATTGGGTCTGCTGTTCCCTCTGTCCTTTACTCCTTTATCTAACATGTGGAAGGAAGAGGTTTTTGGTAGTGTGCGTGTGAAACTTCCACATTCCTTCTGCTATACTGCCTGTCCTGCTGATCTGGGAAAAGAAATCCTTCTCTGCCATATTCATACTCAGTGCTTTAACATCTGTAGATGCCAGTAATACTAAAATGTTTTCGTTTCTTTCTTCTGTAGCATCTCCCTTTCTGCTTTTTGCCAACCGGCGGGATGTTCGACTCCTGGATGCTGGAGACACGAAGCTGGAGTCCACTGTGGTGGTCAGTGGTTTAGAGGATGCTGCTGCAGTTGACTTCCAGTATTCACAAGGCATCATTTTCTGGACAGATGTGAGTGAAGAAGCGATCAAGCAAACGTACATTAACCAAACTGGGAATGTGGTGCAGAATGTCATCATTTCTGGTCTGGTTTCCCCGGATGGCCTGGCATGTGATTGGATTGGGAAAAAACTTTACTGGACGGATTCAGAAACCAATAGAATAGAAGTAGCTAATCTCAATGGAACATCTAGAAAAGTCCTCTTCTGGCAAGACCTTGATCAGCCCAGGGCAATAGCTTTGGATCCTGCTCATGGGTAAATATTAATTTGACTTAAATGCTTAAATGGATACAGTGGTGATTTATGTTGAGTTTTTAGTTCTGAAAAAGAAATATAGCCTTTTGTTTCAGTTTATATTTTCCCAAGGTATTTTTCTCAAGATCTGTAGCTGAACATATGTTTGAGCTTAAATATTTTGTGGCAAGAAATGACAGCCCAGACATAGAGCCAAAACAAAAAATACAGCTGTTCTTAGGTGCCAATCCAAATATTCAACTAGTATGATTGCCTAACTTATTCCATTTCACTTCTGAAAAGTAATTAATTTTCCAAGCCTTTTTTATTGTTATTTTTTCAGTTATCTTGTCTGGTAAGTTAACTTTCATTTGATATGTGATGTCTATTTAATATATCTAGTCAGCAAGGTGTGTAAATCTACATGAGTCAAAACAGGAATTCTCACTGCTATGCTCTGTTAAACAAAATCAGGATATTTTTAAGTGGTGATGTTGAATAATCATGTTTGTGCCAGGAAGTAAAAGAATCCAGGTGAAATCAGGATCTCTCAATGCTTAAGGTGACCAGGTTAGGAAGCAATAAGGGAGCAGGCTGGATGTATCACGTCTAGTGCTCCTGAAAATACTTGTATCTCTGTATGTTTCCTCCCTCCCTCTTGAGTACTCCCCACTATTTCACATGTGCTGTTTGCTATCCCTGTGCACAGATAGTACTGATGTTGTGCAGTTTGGGCCCTGTATTCATTTCAGTGATGACTGAAGATCTGCTGTGCTAGATGACTCCTGAGATAAGCAGAAAAGAGAAGTGGGGTGTGCACAAATCCACACAAATGAGGTGGTTTGCCACTGATCTCCTGCTGTTTTCACAACTCTTTCTCAGGGATCACTTTATCTTCCTCTTCTATACAGTATGTGTAGGTAGATTTCACATCTATAAGAAAATCTGATGGCCTCTTTGCAAAAGGATGCTGTGTTAGTACAAGGACTTAGGATAAACCACAAATATAAAGTAGTTTGTGGTTTATCCTGCACTGGGAGATGGACAGTCTCTTGAGAAACCACGTTCTTCAGGAGTGTAAGAAGTGAAAATTAAAACTAAGCAACAGAGGGCAACTTAGGATTGTCATGCCAGCAACTGCCATGCTACAGAGTGGAACTTTGTCAGGTTGTTTTTGCAGAGGTTCCTGCATAAGGCTTCGCAGGTGAATGTGAGATGTTATGGGTACACTTATGATGAATACATAAAGGATGAACAAGTACTAAATGAAACTGTGTGTACCCAAAGAAACACAGCCCTTAATTTTGTTGACACATCAAATGCTGGAGCTGCCTGTATCCTTCAGATAACTGGTGGAAAGGTACACACATAATCAGTGAAAAGGAAAGTGGAGTGACTTTGTTGGACCAAAGAACTTTTCCTGAGGGGTCCATGTTCTCTTAATCCTGACTTCATTATGGATGCCTTTACGTGAGAGGAATTCTTCCCATAGCAGATTGCTGTGTCAAAATATTTTAAATAAATTAGCAGGGATCCTGTGTGTAACCTGACAGCAAGTAATCTGTGCAGAATTAATTAATACTTAAGACTAATTTTAGCTCTAGAGTTCAATAGTATAATTTAAAGATGGTACAGGTCAAGGAGAGGTTTTTTAGAGTCATAAGTGGTGATGGTGAAGTTGCAGTTCTTCTGCAAATCTAATCCTTTATGTTTGGAAGGAGAGATGCAGGCATGGTTTATTTTGTGTGACTTGGAAAGGCAGTTCTTTGCAGCAATACTCTGTGCAGATATGCAGCATTTTTTAAACATACACAAAATCCAGTAAGTGTAACAACAGAAGACATCATTTTGATGTAAGTTAGGAATCTTGATTTTGCCTTTCCATAGGTCTGTGGTAGCCTATTCTTTTCTTCCTGGAGGACTTCTCTATTTCTAAGTATCTTGCATATACTCCTCCAGGGAAGGTGTGCAAATATGAACAGTTACTGTGGAATGGGCTAATATAAGGAACAAGATTCATTTGCCAAAAATGTAGGTGTCTGTATGTGAGCTGGTCACCTTGAGACTTTCTGATATTGATCAACAAAATTACTTGAGATGAGGAGAGAATGACAGCTCTTCTGACTTTTGCTCCTTGTGGTGCCAGTGCTGCTGTCCTGAACATTAGTTCAGTCTACAAGTTTGTTTTTGTTTTTTTTTTCCATTAGGAGCAGCAGCTTTATATGAAACACCTCTATCGGTTTTAACTTGTGGCAGACATTTCTAATTGTTAGCCTCTTTGATTTATGCATTAATCCAATGTAACAAAGCAACATATATAAATGGTCTGTGAAAATGCATTATGAAGATACATGTATCCTTTATGATTAACCAATTAATCCCCACTCTAGTCTACTAAAATCAGCCTCCATAGAGCTACTCTTCTGGGTAAAAGTGACAAAATCCAGTATTGCACAAGGGTCCTATTGAATTCAAGACAAGTTTACCCAAATAACTATCTAATATAGTAAATTTAACAAGCCAAAAAATCATACATTTTGTATATTTGTGGAATAAAAAATTCAAATTTAATTTGCTTTTACAACCACTTCATTTCACATGGTAGTTCTGAAATATTTCATAGGTGGATCTGTGAAGCAGTGATCATTACATTTGATTTAGGCACGGCAGGCTCTGGGTTTGAGATCCCCTAGAAACAGTTGTTCCTTGTGTACTGGTATTTTCTGGGGAAGGAAAGTGGATGACAGTAGGAAAGAAGAACTGTTTAGTACCTTTTCATTTGTCTTTATGTTAAGTTTTTGTGATCAGGTGGCTAATGCAGTTATTACAACTGACAGAATAGTAAGAATTTGTGCTAAAATAGAAGAGAACAGATATAGAGCGCTTGAGTAAGTTTGTGGGATTTTTTCTGGATCATTAAATTTGATGAAATTTAAACGAGGATTCTCGTTGATGCAGTCTTGAAGTTGCTCGACATTTTCTTTCAATCCGGAAGAATTTCCACAGATGTGATTTTGGCCTTTTAGAAGTTTCTTCTAGAGAAGTGGGGGGAAGCTTAGAAAATGCTCTTGTGAGACCCCACCTGGAGTATCGCATCCAGCTCTGGGGGCCCCAGTACAAGAGAGACATCGAGCTGTTGGAGTGAGTCCAGAGGAGGGCCACGAAGCTGATCGGAGGGTTGGAGCACCTCTCCTATGAGGACAGGCTGACAGAGTTGGGATTGTTCAGCCTGGAGAAAAGAAGGCTCCGGGGAGATCTAATTGTGGCCTTCCAGTACCTGAAGGGGCCTACAGGAAAGATGGAGAGGGACTGTTTATTAGGGAGTGTAGTGACAGGACAAGGGGTAATGGGTTTAAGCTGAAGGGGGGTCGATTTAGATGAGATGTTAGAAAGAAATCCTTTACTGTGAGGGTGGTGAGGTACTGGAACAGGTTGCCCAGAGAGGTTGTGGATGCCCCCTCCCTGGAAGTGTTTAAGACCAGGTTGGATGAGGCTTTGGTCAATGTGGTCTAGTGGAGGGTGTCCCTGCCCATGGCAGGGGGTTGGAACTAGATGATCTTTGAGGTCCCTTCCATGTGATTCTATGATTAGGTATAGGCCAGTCAACTTCAGTTTCCAGAAGAAAAATGGGACAAATAAGCAGTTTGTAAATGCTTAGCTGATACTAGTAGTACTCAAACATGGGTTTATCAAGAATGTTCTCTGTTAAATCTGATTTCCTTCTATTGACAAAATAACATGTCCTTGTGCAGATTGGTGACACCTTCTCTTCTCATTTAGCTGTTCTCATACGGCTGTTCTGCAGAGATGGACGGAGGACACCATTTCATGTTGTGGTGTTTGCAGTGGGATGTTATGTCCAGCGTGGTGTTTGCCTAATAAATAGGTTTTATTCCATTTTGACTGTATGACTTCAAGACATAGACTACTTTGAGAGAATAGAGGAGAACATATTGAATAAACAGTGATCATCTCTCAGAAATGTTATAGGTGTAATGACCGAATCTTAGGGTGTGGGAGATGGACTAGCTGACTTCTAGAGATTCCTTTCAGAGCCTGTTTTTCTGTGATTTCCAGCTGACATTCAAAAGTATGATTTTTTGGAATGTTTTGGCAGGCTTGCTAAATAGTAAGTTGGATGTTTTTGGTGTAATGACATTTTTAAAGAGAGCTTCATCATTTCCACACTCAACCTACCTTACTTCTTTAAAGGCAATGCTTATCCGAAGGTTATAACTCAAAAGAGAGGTGCCCTTGTTGTCTGCCCCAACAATCATTCAGAGCATTTCTAAAATTTCTTTCTTTTGAGGCCAGCTGTGAGATACTATTGCGGATCATCTGTGGGTCTCTACTCTTCCCAGAGCTAGTGAAAATCAGTAATTGTACAGGATTTTCAGATGCTTTGAGATAGTATCATAATTAAGAGGTAGTTGCTTAATATGTAACATGACGTTCTTTTCCACCTTAAAGCTTTCTTGCTGGATCCGCTATATATTCTAGGAATCAAAAGAGGCAGAATATGTGATAAACCAGTTATTCAGCTTACATGAAATTAAGGATAAACTATGCAGACAGAGGAGATTACAAAACATTTTTCTGCAAATTCACTGACATTTTGTTCTGAACATCCAGATCCCAGACCTGGTGTAGGTTATGTGAAGCTGAGTTTATTTAGTGGAGGACATTAAGAGAGCTAAAATGCTTGGCACTGTTTTGGAGAACATTACCATTTCTATACATTTTTGCTAGGTAGACTGCTGATGGGGGATTCAGTAGTGTTGGTGTTTTATTAAGTTTGAGATTGCAGCTTTTGCATAAGTATTTCTGTGTTTTCAGGACAGCAACTTCTAGCAAAATTTAAGTTATTGTATGTAAAGATTTTACGCACGACCAGCTAAGGAGATAGCTCAAATTCTGTGCAACACAGTGAAAAGAACCTAAATATCATGAACGGTGTGTGAAGAAGCAGGA